ATAAAGAAACTATCACAGGGTTTCCCTGGTAGAACTTGTTCAGAGGGGATTTGCCCTTGTCGGAGATTGTATGACTTGCCCAAAACCACCCTTTGAGTTTCTGTGATGAAACAGGGCTTTGAGCCCTTGTCAGCACTCAAACCACATGTCATGCTGGCTTATTTTGTATATACACCTAATACATTCAGTGTAAGTTCTTCATAACTATACACGGCTATTTATCCAGCTACTGTTAATCTGGTGGTCATGATGTTGATTTGGCCACAACAACCAGCCAGGTTCAATTTCCAATTTCTATCCAGTTTCTTTTTGGGAGATGACTGAGAGCAAGATGTGAAAAAACATTGCATAAGGTAAATGGACAGACGACAAATCAAAGCTCAGAGTGGCTTCTGGATGCAATACCAGCAGTGCCTCATTCTCAGTGAAATGTTTATTGCAATCCACAGTGATACTCAACTAGTCATATACAACTAGAGATAAATTGGGTCACATATAGGTAAACTATAACATATGTCACCAACAATCAAAACTATAATGTGCTTATTGATCTGTTGACTGTAATTAAAGCTGATGTTGTTGCTGTTGGTGTTGAAAACTATAATGTTCACTAGCACTTTCTAGAGCAAACAAGGTACATATGCTTGCGGATCTGACTTTGCTCTTGTGCCCTTCTCAAATTATTTATGTGCTCATGCTTCAGAGTAAAGCAGAAAAATGGAATGGAAATTGTCAGACAACCAGCAAGTTGGCACACTCATTTGCACAAACATATACAAAGTCAACATTCATGCATCAGCCCACTGTAATGTGATGTAACTGGTGTATCTGTTTTTCAGGGCAGTGGGGGAAATGCCTGCATATGCAGAAGTCATTCAGAAAAAGCAAGGATGTTCAAGATATTCTAGATTTTGGATATTTTCTGAGTATCCAAGAAACCCAGTGTATTTGAGCTTGGGTCTATGAATCTGGAAACCAGGGGCCCTTCCACACAGCCATATATCCCAGAATATCATGGCAAAAAATCCCACAACATCTGCTTTGAACTGGGTTATCTGAGTCCACACTGCCATATTTCTCAGTTCAAAGCAGAAAATGTGGGATTTTATTCAGCTCCGTGGAAGTAGCCCAGGGTTCAATTATTTGTTTGACCATGGAAACTCACTTCATGTCCTTGTGCACACACTCTCAGCTCCAGAAAACCTGAGACAGGTTTGCCTTAGGGCTGCAGAAAGTTGGAAATTACTTGAAGTCACTCAACAACAACCCAAGAGAAAGCAAAGAGCCATCTTGGTGTTCCCTTCACCTATCTTTTTAAAAAGGCTTTAAAATGAATTAAAAAACTGTCTTGCATAGGGCAACTGCTTCTACTCTTATCTTACTGAATGAATCAAATGTCTTCCAGTCCTTACTATGAGGACACACAGCAGTGTACTCAAGATTGCAAACCACATTTCCCCATACTGAAGGACATCTCTTTGGTTTTTTTCCCCAAATTGCCATTCATATTTCTGCATTTAATATCAGCCTATCATATCATAATATACCGTTGTCTTTTACGGTTATTTGACTTGTCCCAAATCTGCCTTCATGCTAATTGAAAAACAGCTGCTTGAAAGTAATCTAGAATAGTAGAATTTGAAGCTGGAGTCACTAGCTGCACCATTCTTTCATACTTCAATAGCATGGCATTATCTACTGTGTTACATGTTACACATTTGCATCAGCTGGGAAGTTGTGTAAGAGGACAAACTAACTTGTTTGATTTTTGATACCATAGGCTATCTCTGTTTGCATGAAATGGTTCATATTTACTCTGTCTTCCTGCTTTCTAGGTGTGTTTTATATCTCATAAGGAGGGAAACCTGATGCAGTGAGTCAGCAGCCTAGGACTTTAAACTGTAAAAGGTATTTTTATGGCACAGTGGAGCAGTTTTAAAAAACCATTTCTAGATGACAAAGAAGTAGTCAGGTTGTATGTTCTGAAGTGTGTGGTGAATAATCAATCACTTGTCCTACATAGTCAAGAGGTGATTACTATCTGTCATCTTAATGCCTTATTGTTGTAGATTTGCTTCATAGCTATTGAATACACAGAACTAAAAACTATTTCTGGGCATCTCTCCCCAGCTAAAGCCTTCCCCACAACTTGTTGGATGATAAGGAAACACTGAGTACTAGAAGCACCAAAAGCTTAGACAAATGTAAGGCTTACTTTACTGTAGACAAGCCTATTCTGGATGTGCCCAAATGTTCTGAAATGTTTTGATTATCACATCCATGTATCCTGAAGCTAACCATTTATGCCAGCGTCTTGGCAATTCAAATAAAGAATTAACATATTCCAAACTTCAGTTGACTGAACTGAGAAGAACTGGTGTTTTTACACTTTGCAAGGAGAAACAAATGAAAACGCAAGTAAAATCAAGGGATCCATTGCAAGGGATGGACCTGGAGTCCACTTGAGAGGGAACTAAGAATTAAAATTATTGTATTGATGGAGGACTCCCAATGGATCATTTCTTCTCTCCGGCTGCTCTATATCTAGAAAGATCACATAAAATATATTTCAAATTTTAAAAAGTTTTCTATGAATCCAAGGGAAACGTTTTGAGGAATGTGATGACATTATTCATTTTCAAGATTTCACATCAAATGCTTGAATGTGCGCTCTGAGTGATGCAGGTTGCCTTTTGAGCTGGAAAGATGCCTTGGCAGAAGAGTGCCCAAGTGTGGCTTGGTTGGCTAAGATCCCAAATATTATTATATTATATTCCACAAGAGCATTGAATCCATGATGTTCTGGGATAAAGGACAACCTTTTAAACAAAAGGATAGTCTGTTTTAAGATAAAGGGCACTGTGTACCACAAAATAAGCTCTCTAAATTTCCAATAAAACAAAAGAAAACATTTATTGGAACCAGGAAAGAGTGAACATGGAACGACTTAAACAATGCTTCTGGAAAATGAGTTAACAGGAAGTCACTAGTGATTATATGTTTTTAAATGATTTTTATAATTTTTATAATGTGCGCTAATGTTTTAATTGTGTTTTATTACTGTTGTGGCTTCAAATTGTTGCCAATTTGTAAGCCTCCTTGAGTCGCCTTCGGGCTGAGAAAGGTGGCATAGAAATACCGCAAATAAATAAATAAATAAATATTCGAGACATGGCTTTCCTGCAACTATAAGTAAAAATGAGGTCCGCTTTTATTACGCAGGGTAAATTGGATTAATGTTGTCTATATCTAAATAATATTTGCACATTCTGGATCATATGAGGAGAGGACTGTTTCAACAACTTCCAGGTTCTCATGGAAAAATTCTGATTGAAAGGTTCTAAGAAATAGAAATCTGAGCAACACACATTCATGTATTGTCGAATGCTTTCATGGCCAGAATCATTGGATTGTTGTAAGCTTTTCAGGCTGTATGGCCATGTTCGAAAACCATTATCTCCTGACGTTTCGCCTGCATCTATGGCAGGCATCCTCAGAGGACCTCACAACCTCTGAGGATGCCTGCCATAGATGTGGGTGAAATGTCAGGAGAGACTGCTTCTCGACTGTGGCCATACAGCCCAAAAAACTTACAACAACTCAATCATTCATGTGTTTCTGAGCATGGTGGTATCACTGTAAAACATTTTTCCATTCATATAGGGCAATTCAGACACACCTGGATTTTGAGATATCTCTATTTGCTTCATAGAACCCCAAAGAATTCCCATGCTCTTTTCTTTCCCTTTAGTTAAATAAAAATGTTATGAAGCAGCTTAACATGCAATTTGGTTTAAATAGGTGTGATTGGCTGTCTCTAATCACACCTATAAGTTCATGTTTACTTATCATTTCATTCCAACCTACACATAAGGAATCCGCCCAATTGGGTCTGCTAGTGTATGTGTATATTTTTCTCTGTATATACGCTTCCCCCATGCATCCTGGTATTGGTTCCAGTGAGAAAAATACAGGTATCCCTAGCAGGTTTGGAAACGGAGCTTTGAATCCAATCCCAAGGAGCTTAACTTTAATCAAAGTTGACCAGGTTCTGTGGCTTGTTGCCCTTGTGCCCCACCTCTTACTCGGTCCCACCTCTTACTCTCTCAACTGTATTGATCTTCTTAGACCAACGGAAAGAGGGCCAGCCCCTTGCATGTGTACCAAGTCCAAGAGAATCCCTGGGAGTTTTAGAATCACAAAACAAGGCTGAAAATTGGAGTGACACTCAGGGATACTTTAGCAGGGAGAAGGCCACATTCCACAAAACAGTCAAAGAGAACTGTTTACAATTGCAAGGACTATGATTAGGGTAGCCTAAGGACAAGGACATAGTTTTAAGGGTCGGGACATCACATTGATAGGAATCAACAGCTCTAGAAAAGGTGAAGCTCAGCTTTTTTGTTGTACCTGACAGATTTTTAGGACACTTTTAACTCATTGCTTTGAAGTAATTTCACCCTGACATTTCCAGTACATTACAACCACCTTGTATCCAGTACTCATTTACTTGACAGCGTTTGCCTCACTCCATCCCCCAGGCTGGCATCCCCAGAAGACAACTTCAGCAATATCTTTTATACTGGCACTGCAACCCAGCTGATGAGCAGATGGTACTGACAAGCTTCGGCAGCCCTGCTTGGGATTTATCTTGGCTCATAAGTTGCATTATTTCACACAGAAATCTGGTGTATATATAATGCCATTAGAAAAAAGGAACGTTGAAACTACTGAGCCGAATCCCATACAATGGTCCCTTTCATGTAACCTCTCACTTCATATACACCAAATAAGACGACCTTTCTGGCTGAAATATCGATTCTCGTTAACTACAATAACCAAGGCATTCCCTCTCTGTTTCTTCCCTTGCATTATGAGATTAAACATGCAGTGAAATCATTCCAAAATCACAACAAATACATGGAAGGAAGCAGTTGCTGTCCCCGACCTTTGATGTATTTCACTTTAATTTTTGGCTTTTTGTGTGTCATCTTAATTACCTGATCAGTATGGAGACCCCAACGTCCTCGCAGTTCGCGTACACTGTGTTCCATGTCTCCTGGATCATCTTTTTCTCTGCATCTGACATCTCTTCGTTTCTTTCCCATCTCTCAATCTCCATTTCTCCTTGGACTTTCTCCATGAAAAACAGCCAGCAAAATCTTCCGGGGAAGCCAGTAGAGAAAGAGATTTTTGTATGCTTGCCTCTGCGTGTGAATCTCTCTCTGTGTGTGTCTCTGTGTGCGTGCGTGTATGTGTGTATCCAGCCAGAAGAGATAAGGTGTTCTGTTTGGTGGTGATGTTTGGCTGATACTGTTCTTGCCTCCCTTGCTGTGTTTGTGTGTGTGTCTGTCTATATAGACAGACAGAGGTATGCAACAGAGATAATCAGAGAGAGAAGCAGAGAGAGGGAGAGGGAGATTGTATGTGATCAGATTTCAGATCTCCCAGTGCAGCCCATGGCTGTTGTGGCTCCCTTCAGCTCAGCATGCCCGTTTGTATGACTCTGAAGGGGAACTGGCAAAAAGTAGAATATTCAAAGGCACTGGGAGACCGGCCTCTTCACCAATGTGTGAACGTGAGCTCACTTTCTCCGCCTCTCCTCCTCCTCCTCCTCTTCCTGTGTGTGTGTGTATTTGAGTGGATGTATGTGTTTGTGAGAAAGCGAGAGATTAAGCAGAGGTGCTCCTGAGTGTCAAAACCTCTTGCTTTCAGTATTTTATGCCTGGAAATTTCTCTTATTTCCTTTTCACCATTTGTAAACAGCTGAGAGAAAAGGCAGCATCAGAAGTGAACAGTTAAACTTATTCCAACAGCTGGCTTAGCTGAAATGGAGTATTTTTAATTCTCTCCACCTTCAACCTTGGAAGAAGCAGCTTTTATTAACCACAGCGGGGAAATATATCTTTGCCACCCTGACTTCTTTTTTTTAGGGAGTATGAGGTGGGTTGGGAAAAGAGAAAAGGATCCATCGAGTAAATGTTTATCTCTTTAAAATCTGAATTATATCATGCCTTCAAGGGAATGTTTCTAAATATAACCCGCTCTCCCTATGCCTTATCTGCAACTCTTACACCAGAAAAATAATCTGGTTTTAAAGCCCTTGCAAAAGAAATATATTGGTATACTGTATTAACATATTGACTTTTGCTTTCTTTTTTACACTGGAGATTAGATAGCAGGAGTGGGCAGAATCATTAATTTTAAACCAAAAGGAAATATTTATGCTGGTTTTTATTTAGGGGGTGGTGGTTGATGAGTAGATTATTTTATTTGTGGGTCATTGAATCTGGAGGAAATTTCCACTCTTTTGGATCAGAAAGATGGAAATTTAGATCATGTTGAGGCAATAGCATAAAACCAAAAATACAGTGAATGGGCAATATATTGAGTGTGAAAGAATATGTGCAAAGAGCATGCATTGATGTGAGCATACGGAAATGGGTATAAGAACATATACACAAAGAGTTGGCATCTCAAAATATTCATTTGATCTTTCTTCCAAAGGTGGTATGGGCAAGGCTGGCTCTCCTGTTCAGCAGAATGGGACATCCAATGTTTACATGTCATTCAGGCAACAAACTGTTAGAATGTACACCCTAGGAAAGTCACATGCTTTCAGCCCCAGAAAACCCTGAGATAATGCCATGTGATCTATGCACTTTATCCATCAGCCCTATCCTCGCAATTGTCTTTGCACCAGTCCACCCACCCGTACCCAGAAACTGATGGTTATCATAGAGCTCATTGGTTGTTAGTTGATGTTTGCTTTTATATTTTCGTTATAATGTTGTTGTTTTATTCTGTTTTGTGTTGCCATTATATATGTTAATGTGCTATATTTTAATTATGCTGTTCAGGCCCATCCCCATATAAGCTGCCCAAGTCCCTTTAGGGAGATGGACGGGTTATAAAAATAAAGTTGTTGTTGTTATTATTATTATTATTATTATTATTATTATTATTATTATTATTATTATTACATGTTGGAAATGACTACAAGGCACACAACAACAATATTCTTGAAAGCTAAACCTAGTCAGGTTAGTTTTTGGGTGAAAGACTACGGATGAATTCCAGCTGCCATTGGCTATGTGTCAGAGGGAGGAGCTGGCAAAATCTCTACATCTCCCTTGTCTAAGAAAACTATTTGAATTTCATGGAGTTGCCATTGGTTGACAGGCAAATTGAAGACACACACACACACACTTTCATAGCTTTTAAAAAATATATCAGGGTTAGGGAAGAATGTGAGAGTTGTTCAGGTGGCTTGGATAGTCTTGATATTATCACCCATGGTTTTGTGGAGAGAGGCCCGACTTGCTGTTTTGCTTCTGGCAGCATCATGTTTGGGGACATAGTGCCATTTATAAAAGGCAGAATGGGGCAATGGTCTCCTCCTTAGTTTCAGACCACATACAGTTGTTCTGCAGAAACACCAGTATCTTAAGTGGCTTAAGCGGCAGAGAGGGAAAATGAAGGGGCCTGAGGCTATTAGGAATGGTGGGAGTTGAAGTCCAAAACACCTGGAGGGAGGGCCCAAGTTTGCCCAGGTCTGGTCTACACTGATCATATAGTGCAGTCCAAACCATGGGTTTTTTTTGCCATTGTAGATCCAGGCAACATTAATAAAAATCTTATATAGGTTGGGTATCCCTTATCTGAAATGAAATAAAATGTGTACAGAATGAGCCTTTTGAAAGCAAAGGCATCACTATCTGAGCCATTTATGTTGACAATTCCAGATTCTGGCATATATTAGGTATCAGAATTTCAAATAATGGACACTCAACTTATATTTATACTTAATTTTTAAAAACCCCAAATGTTTCATCTTAAATGTATTCAAAAACAGGCCCTATAAACTTTACTGAGAATCTTCGTGTATAGCCTTCACAATTTTGCTGTTGTTTTTAACTAGTCCTACTGAAATGAGAACTGACGTCCCATCCGCTGAGCAAACTCCACCCCGCTGCAGAGTCTTCAAGCCCTTAATTGGAAAGGAACAGCATGGTTTCCTCTATTCTTGTTCAATCTACCAACCTTAGAAAGAGAATATGATTTTATTTTTTCTGTGGTACATTGAGAAGGGGGAGAGAGGGGACAAATTCCTTCTCAGTGTAGTATAACCTTTCAAAGAAAATTCAAGAAAACTACTATTGAAGATGTATCCCTGTTTGCTTACAATCCAATAATTGTGGATAAGTATTTTACTGTAATTTTGCTGCAAATGCATACCTGAATAGAGAATTGATTTTGATAAAAGGATGATATTTCCTAATGGATATTGGTTAGACAGCTGAATGACCACTTCACCTGCAGGCATGATGGATATTTGGCATTTTGAGGAGGAAAACTAATGAGAGTTGACAGCTGTAGGCTGTTATTATTTTGTAAAAATATACTACGGGAAATGGGAAGGAAAGCCTGACTTGGCTCAGGCTTTAGAGTCAACGGTCTGTTTGTGTTCCTAAAATATGGCTGCAATTCTGCTGCCTCCCTCTGGATACCTTTGGCCCCTTCTACACTGTCATATAAAATCCAGATTATCTGCTTTGAATTGGATTATATGGCAGTGTAAACTCATATAATCCACTTCAAAGCAGATAATGTGGATTATCTGTATTGATAAAATGGATTATATGTCAGTGTAGAAGGTACCTTAGTGTTCCTACTTAGCCACTATCCAAAACACCAGCATCTTGATTACAGCCCTCTTGGTGCTTGAAACAGCAAATATGGATATCCCACCACTAATGAAAGACGCTATTAGGCGTGATGTCAACAATGATTTTTGTGCCACTTACATTTTAACAAAATAGGGTAGCACTGTTCATGAAAAGAGATGGAAAGAAACCAGATACTTAAGTTGGCATGATACAAAAATCAGTAATGGAGCATTCCAATCTCCCCAAACTTTCATTAACACATGTGAAAGAATATAGGATGAACATAAGAGCTCCATGCTATCTATGCACAGACTGGAACTGAACACTAATTTTCCAATACCTGCCTCAACATTTGGTAAGTTTAGCTTCAGGCAAAAGGAAAGGTGTACAGATCTCCAGGTCAGCCAGCAGAGCAGCACCTTGCAACATTTTGCAAGGTATTAATTGATTCATTACTGCAGTAGAATCTCAAAGGGGTGGTATTTATCTTTCTCCTTCCAGTTGTTATGGTGGCAGGGCTCATCTGCTACAATACTCTATATCCATTTTCTGTCTAGGAGTAAGTAGTAGGCTAGATTAAAGACTCCTTATCTCATCTCTGTATGTTGGTAAGAAAGAATAATTTCCTCATTTCGATTACACAGAATCATATAATCATAAATTTAAGATGTCTATCTTATTATCCAAACTAGGGCATACAGGTTTGAATGATAAGTTGCAAGCAACTTTGCGTGATACTTATACAACAGTAGCTGTCATTATCAAAGGCTTTCTCTAGGTCTCAGGCTTTGGCCCAGAAATCTTAGGGCCTTGGACATCCTGAAATGGCAACCGTACAAGATAGTGAAAATAAAAATTCCAAGAACATTAATGGTTAGAAGATCTTATTGCTTTAGCTGTGCACAGGAGCCCCCGGTGGCGCAGTGGGTTAAAGCCCTGTGCCGGCAGGACTGAAGACCGACATGTCGCAGGTTCAAATCCAGGGAGAAGCGGATGAGCTCACTCTATCGGCTCCAGCTCCTCATGCGGGGACATGAGGGAAGCCTCCCACAAGGATGATAAAAACATCAAATCATCCGGGTGTCCCCTGGGCAACGTCCTTGCAGACGGCCAATTCTCTCACAACAGGAGCGAGTTGCAGTTTCTCAAGTCGCTCCTGACACGACAAAAAAAAAAAGCTGTGCACAAATATGTATTTTGTAGCCATCAACTTAAAGGCAATGTACAGAGAGTTAATGATCTATTTTGGAACAATTACCTGTTTTAGAATTGACCAGTTAGCCCCATCTCGCAGGAGGAGGAGGAGGAGGAGGAGGAGGAGGAGGAGGAGGAGGAGGAGGAGGAGGAGGCAGCTTAACAATTGTGGCAAAGATGGGGATCTCTATCCATTAAATGTCCTGAAAGAAATGTCAAGTCAATTACAACCATATTATGAAATTTAAAGTCAGAATGGATGGCTTGCATTAAAATATTTGAAATCTCTGTTTTTCCCATCATGGAGAAAGTTTCTGTCATTGTCTGCATTATAAGTTAAGTATTTGAAAGGAGGTAGAGAGCCAAAAGACCATTCATAATGTATTCACCATCCTACATGATACACAACTAAAGATGGAAGACATAGTTTCCCTTTTTCTCTGTATCACAAACTCCAGGAGCACATAGTCACTCCCACTTATGGATCCC